TGGTCCAGTACGGGCGCGACACTGAGGGTTGCGATCCGTTGCCAGACACGAAAAAAGACAAAAAGGGAAAAAAAAAAAATTAAAAACAATAGTACAAACTCATTTTAGAAAATGCTATCTAGTTGTCCCAAAACCATTTATTAAAAAAATCCATCTTTTCCCAGTGATTCGAGATTCCATCTTCATCATACTCTGTATTTCATATGTACTTGGTCTATTTCTGGACTTCCTATTCTGTTCCACCAGTCTTTTTGTCTATTTGTGCTCCAATACTACACTGTTTTAATTATTGAGATTTTATGGCATATTTAATATCTGTTAGGGCTAGTTCTGTCCTTATGGCTCCACTTTTTCGGGGTTTTTCTAGCTGTTCTTGCATGTTTATTTTCCCCTATGAACTTTAGAGTCAACTTGTCTAGCTTCAAGAGAAACATTAGGAGTATTTTTACTGGGATAATATTAAATGTAAATAACAAATTGGGAGGGTCAGCCCGTGGCTCACTCGGGAGAGTGCGGTGCTGAGAACACCAAGGTCCCAAGTTTGGATCCTATATAGGGATGGCCGGTTTGCTCACTGGCTGAGCGTGGTGCTGACAACACCAAGTCAAGGGTTAAGATCCCCTTACTGGTCATCTTTAAAAAACAAAAAACAAAAAAACCCAACAAATTGGGTTGAATTGGCATCTTTATGAATGCCATATCCACAGCCAGTTGTGTTAGCCACAAAAATGGATGTCTTCTCTCTCATTCAAGCTTACTTTTGAGTTTTCAGGAGTGTTCTGAAGTTTCTCTCACAAATGTCATGCACATTTCTTATTAGATTAATTTTAAGTATTTATTTGTTGTTTCTATAGATGAGGTTTTCTCTTCCATTATGTCTTCTAATTGGTTACTGTTTGTATATGTGAAGATCACAATTTTTTTACATTTTGTTTTTAATTGACACATAATGGTTGTCTTTGTATGTTAATTTCATATCCTGCTATTTTGTTGAATTCTTTTAAAATTTATGTTAGTTTTATAATGGATTCTCTTAGGTTTTCTAAGTATACAATCACATTATCTGTACATAGAGGAGACAGTTTTTCTTCTCCTTTTCTTCTTATGTACCTGATTTATTTAAAAAATTTGGTTGCATTGGCCAATACTTCCAACATACAGTTAAATGGTGGTGGAGATAGTAAATGTCCTTATCTTGTTCCTGATCTTAGAGGAATAAGAGACTTAAAAATATATATTTTTTATTACATAAGTGATATCTACTCATTTTAGAAAATACAAAAAAATCACAAACAAATTTAAAATTATCCACAATTCTACTATCTAGAGATTTCTACTATTAACATCCTTCCAGTCTATTTTTTTCTATATACACACACAATATTTTTCTTATATAAATTGGATAATACTCTACCCTAATATAACATTATATCATTAATCTTCTGTATAATTTTTAACTGTTCCTGAGTATTCCTTAGCATAAATGTACCATAATTTCATCAGTCCCTTATTGTTGGACATTTAGGTTGTTTCTAGTGTTTCCAGTACTATAAGGGTACTGGGATAAACATTCTGGCATCTAACCGTGGATGCGATATTCAAGGTTATTTTCTTGGAATACATCCACGGAGGTGGAATGTCCCAGATCAAAGCTTGTGACAAATTGCTTCCAGTAGAGAATGTACCAGTTAGCTCTCCTCTAAGGACCTTGAGCCTTAATTATCTTTGTGAGTTGGATCCCACAGTCTGTTCACTCTGTGCCCAAGATCTTGCAGGCATATTGCTTCATCCTGGAGAAGCTACTGGAGAATGACGAAACGCAAATTAACGGCTTCTGCATCATTGAGAACTTCAAGGGCTTTACTATGCAGCAGGCTGCCGGGCTCCGACCATCAGATCTCAGGAAGATGGTGGACATGCTCCAGGTGAGGCCTTAGAACACTGTCCCACAGGGACCTCTCACAGGTGGGGAGGCTGAGAGGCTGGGCCTGGTTTCCCAGTTTCATGGTGCAGGGACCTGAGAAGTTGACCACCTAGTGCCATAAAGTGCAGTGACAACCACAACTCCAACCACAAACACTTGCCTGGTGATGGACAGTTTGCCAAGTATTTACATTCATTTTCTCACTGACTCCTCAAAAGGATTCTCTCCCTGCTTCTCTACTTCACTTTACAAACTTGAAAACTGAGGCTCAGAGATTTAGGTGATGTCTCAAAGTCACACAGCAATAAAGTGGCAGAGGCCAGACTCGAACCCACATCATCGGACCTGGAACCCCACACTCTCTGTCCACATATATCCCATTGCCTCTCTTTGAATGCAAGTTTACTCTGAAAAAGGGATGTCACCAACCCCCCTGACAACTCACTCCTATGTAGACTGATGTATCAGTTCTTTCTTTCTTAGAGCTTCCTTAGATCTGCTCTCTGGGGATCTTGGAAAGGAGAGGTGGGGGTTGTGGGAGGGGCTGAAGGACAATGAGGCATAACAAGAGTGTCCCTGTCGTCTATAAAGTTTGCAGTCCTCTCAGCAGCCAAGTGGGTTTGAAAAAACTCAGTCACCAGAACATGAAGCAAGGCTACCATTTCATTTCTTTACCTAATTCCAGGAATTTTTGCATCTGCAGGGAGATGGTTGGGCTGTATTACTTCTGGGACTTCCTCCCTGCAGTTTGGAGCTACAATGAAGCCAGGGATCCCTCGTTGCTGGCTGGGGATGGAACCTTCAGTGGGCTTTTCTCCAGGGCAACCATATGATGCTGGACAAATCTGTCCTTATGCCATGGGGAAAGGCTGTGGGGAAGTGAGTGGGAGCCTCTGAAGCCATTGGGACAATGGGGTGGGGTCTCTCTCTGTCACTGCAGGATTCTTTCCCAGCCCGATTCAAAGCCATCCACTTCATCCACCAGCCGTGGTACTTCACCACGACCTATAATGTGGTCAAGCCCTTTTTGAAGAGCAAGCTGCTTCAGAGGGTGAGTGTGTGGCCTGCCCAGGGCAAGTGTTGAGTGAGTCAGTGAATGAATGTGGGGTTGGATCAGGAAGGAGTTCATGAGACAAGAAAGGTGAGAGGGGGGTGGGGTGGGAAACTCTGCACCCTGGTCCTGAACTGAGTGGATCCCACTGACAGCACAACATGGAGGACTGTACAGAAGTATATCACCAGGCAAAGAATGCACTCTGGGGCTCTGCCCTCCTGTCTGTCTCCTCCCCTCATCCCTCATTCTCTGGGCACCTCATGCTCAGCTATATCTCCCTTGCTTCCCTGCAGGTCTTTGTTCATGGAGATGACCTCTCTAGCTTCTACCAGGAGATTGATGAGAACATCCTGCCCTGTGACTTTGGAGGCACACTGCCTGAGTATGATGGCAAGGCCATTGCCGAGAAACTCTTTGGCCCCCGGGTCCAAGCTGAGAACACAGCCCTGTGAAGACATCTCCTGCCGTCTAACTGTAGTTAGCATCCCTGGGCCTCTCCTCAGCTGTCCTGGACTCAAGGCTGGGGAAAGGGCTGCCTGAGGTGACTGTGGTCCTCCTGAACCTCCATAAACTTGGGTGAGCTCAGGCGTCACCCTCTTCTCAAGTTGGGGGGCAATAAAGCCGAGGAAATTCCCTTCAACAAGAATTGGGGACAATTATATTCCCAACTGCCTCTGAAGCTTTATGACAGTGACTTTCATGTGAGGTTGAATTTCAGAGACTCTAATTAGGCTTCTCAACAATTTCCTTTGTAACAGAGTTTGGAACTTAATGTCTATGAAAACAGGCAAAGAGGCTGGATTAAAAATCTCCCCTCCCCCCATAATACAATAAACAGAAGATAAAAGAAGGGGGATATAAATTTGAATGATTTGGCAAACGCAGTAATCTTGGTGGCATGTGGGCAGGCAGGGGGTTTTCCACATGGAATTCCAGGGTGGGAGCAGCCTTGAAGCTGCTTCATTGGGGTGGCCTGCTCCCCTTGGTCAGGTGGTGTTGGATGTGTGTGGTGATGGCCAGGAGCTTGGACCTCTTTCCAGGGTGGCAACCATGTCCTGCTCCATCATCTGTGGGGGTGGAGGTGGGGGTGTCTCTCCACCAGAAGCTCTCTCCTCCAGACCCCTTGCTTGATGGATGGTTTTACTTAGTTTTACAGGTGATATCTCTGCGCACTCTCTCAGGCCTCAAGTTATACAGTTAAAGCTCTTCTTTGTCTTCGGTCTCAGGCACTTTATAGTGATGAATTTACACTTTCCAAATGTGCATAGTTTGACAAATACAAGTGCTTTCCTTCTGTGGACTTGGTGGTCCTCAAGTGTTTGGTGATTTTTGAGTGTGTGCTCGTTTTTGTAGGTGAGAATCCCTGTTAGAAGACTCTGTTCGTGGAGCATGCTGCCCCCTCTTGGGGAAGTGCTGGATTCTTCTCGGCATAGGGCTCCCAGGCACTGACAGATGCTTCTCCCAAGATGCTGTTTTTACTTTCCCACCTGGAAGCAGACACTCATTCCTGTTGTCTGGCTAGTGGTGGTAGGTGAGGATTGACTGCCCTGGTTGCTCCCACCAAGGTAGCCCAGTGAATCAACCCAAGACTTGTCAGTTCTTGCCTGTGGGGTCACCCCCCTCCTTGTGGGTATGAAGCACCCTTGGTGCTGCACCCACCTTTTGGGGCAGAATCTTTCAGCTATTTCCTGGACTGTGTGTTCAACCCAATCCCATTGGCTTTTATACTTCAGGGAATTTCTCTGATCCACTGAGACTTCTCTTTCTTGTTTTCAGTGAGGCTATGTACATGTATATGTGAATGTGCATATATATGCATTTATTTCTCACATCCTTTCTTTCATTCCTAGGGTTTGCAGTGTGTGCTCATTACCCAGGTAACTTCCTTCTTTATGACATTCACAGTCAACAATCCATGGTCATAAATGATATTTACACTGGACGTCTGAGTTGCAGGAGGATTCATAGCAGATTATTGTGGGTAGGAGGGCGGGAGGCTGACCAGTGAGGATTTTCCCCAAGCCCCTCTTAACTACTTTTTTTTTTTTTTTTGGTGGCTGGTTGGTGTGGGAAACTGACCCCTTGACCTTGGTGTTACAAGGCTGCACTCTAACCAGCTAAGCTACCCGCCCAGCCAATTCACTACTTTCTAAAAGTTGAGGCTCCCCTTTTTCAAGTCAAATCTTACATGGAACCTTGGGATCTAAACATAAAAAGAGTGAAGCTGCTCTGGTTGAAGAGGGTTCAGCAGCTTTATTTCTCGCACCCTGAGGTATCTCCTAGGAACATCTGGAGCTAAGAGGGTATTTCAAGGAGGAGGGAATGGGCCACTATGTCCAGTGGTGCTGTGGGGTCAAGCGATAAGAGAATGGAGACTAGCATTTGCCAGGATGGAGGGCATTGCTGACTTGAGCAGAAGTGTTGATAGAGTGGGGGTGGGATGAGGCTGATTCAAGAATCTTAAGGAATGAGTATTTTTTATGTTTCAAGATATACTTCTAATTGATTTTTAAGAATTGTGTCCCAAATCTGAGGGAAACAGTGGTTGATCCCTGTCGGTTGACTCCCATCTTTTCCCCAGCCCCTTATTGCCAGGAGCCCTCCTGGACACGGCCCAGCCTCACCCTCTGATTTATGGCGGCTCTGAATCTATGAGGATGTGGAGACAGCTGCAGGCAGATGCTGACCAGGAGGGTCTTGGGCAGCATTAGTCTCCTACTCAGCCCAAATGGGTTGCCGGTGTCCCCACTAAAGTCAGCAGGGCTAGGGCCTCAGGGACCCTGTCTGATAAGAAAACCCAGTGGCTTTCTGAGGAAGGAGCCATAGGGTTGGGACCCAGTGAGCCGGCTCTGACTGTGGGCTTGCACCGCCCCCTGCTGGCCCTGTCCTGGCACTGCCCCTCCAGGGACAGTCTGGGCAGGAACTGAGTGGGCTGGGGCTGGGCCAGGCATTGCTTGGGAAGGTGGTGCTGCCTTTGGGAGAATGTGTCTGAAGACCATGAATGTTAAAACAATGTGCTCAGCCTCGCAAAATCCCAGATGCCTAGGTGTGACTCCTACAAGTGGTGACACCCCTCTCCCGCCACCCTGGCCCTAGAATTAATGAGATAGAGGAAGAGGGACAATAAAATGCCCTTTTGAAAGCCATCAGCTATGGAAAGGGGAACAGCAAAGTATGAATTTTATAACAACCATTTGGTACCCATAACAGCTTCCTTTCTGGAGACATCTGGGATGAGGCAGGGATTCTGTCTCATAAAAGTAATGTGGGCAGAGAGTTGGAAGGTGGCAGTGAGGCATTTCTGCCATCCTAATGTGGATTTTCAAAAAATGGAGACAGCAGATTCTGGAGGAATCTGGAGATTCATTGGAGGCAATTCATCAAGGTGTGAGTGGAGATTTCAGTAGGGAAATGGGCCACCAGCTTCAGAGACTCTCTGAACAAGATTGGCCACTGCTCAGAGCCTTGCATTTATCTAAGGGAAACTGGAGGAGGCGAATGCTGCCTGGCAAAGGCTTCCTGGAAGAGGTATGCCTTTGTATTAACTCAAGCCAGCTAGGAAATGAGGTGGAGTCATCTAAGGGGAGAATTGGACCATTCCACTGGCTGTGGAAGCGTGGCTCTGGTGTTGAGAAAGCTCAGCAGTGCCGGGTCTAGAAGCTTGCAGGGCCCCTAGAGCCTCACTATTCAAAATGTGGACCCAGGAGGGGGCAGCAGCTGCCCTATTTGGGGCTTGCTAGCAATGCAGAATGTTAGGCCCACCTCAGACATGCTGAATTAGGACCTACATTTTTAATAAGACCTCCAGGGGGATTGCACATTAATGAGCAACCTGGAATCCTTGCAGGGAGCTTTAAAACTAGATGCCTGAGCCCCACCCTGACAGATTCTGATGTACTTGGTCTGGGGTATGGCCTGGGCATCAAGATCTTTCTAACTTCCCCAGGTGGCTCAAATATCCACTAGTTAAACCTTATATGTTGACATACGGAGAAGGTGAAGATATGGAGGAACCTACACTGGCAGGTATTAATATCTAAGGATTTAAAGACAAACTGCACTTGAGCAGAGGACAGAGAAGCAGGGCTTCAGAAGCCTGACTCCTCCAACCTGGGCAGCAAAAGCCCATGTGGGAAAGCAGCAGCTGACAGGCTAAATGTCCCAGAATAAGTGCAAGTTCCTCCCTGGGGCTGTGCCTGCAAGTAGCCCTGGCAGCAAGACACATGTAGGTGAGTACACCTTGATTTTGCAAGGTGACCATATGAAGGAAAAGATTAGGATCAGGGTTTGATGATGCACACTTGAGGCTTATCAGCACTTCCAAGCCCATGACTGTTTTTGGGAACTATATCCAGACCCATCTCTGCTTTCTACATGAGCCCATCAGTTAGACACCTTTGCCCCATGCAGACATTTTTCTTCTAGTTTCTGCATTTTCTGGGAGGTATTTATGAATGCGAACCAAATAAAGCCAAAGCCACTGCCCAAAATAATATTAGCACTTTGAAAAATATTTATTTGGTCATCTTAATATCCTGAGGAAGGCATTCTTTTTTTTCTTAAAGATGACCGGTAAGGGGATCTCAACCCTTGGCTTGGTGTCAGCACCACGCTCAGCCAGTGAACTAACTGGCCATCCCTATATAGGATCTGAACCCGTGGCCTTGGTGCTATTAGCACCACACTCTCCCGAGTGAGCCACGGGCCGGCCCAAGGCATTCTTATTACAATTATTCCCACGTCTTACAGGTAAAAAAATAAAAATAAGGCTGGCCGTTGGTTCCCTTTGGAGAAGATGGTGCTAGTAACACCAAGGTCAAGGGTTTGTATCCCTGTACCTGCCAACCACCAAAAAAATAAAAAAATAAAAAAAAAAATCTGAGATTAAATCCTGCTTAGGGTCAAAGAGCTAGAAAATGGCTAGGATGGGACCCTAACCCAGCAACTCTGACTCCACATCCCTTTGGCTCTGTACTACTTATGCTCTGTCTCAGACTTTGTTTTATTTATTTCTGGGGGTGGGGCAAGTGCAGGTAGGTGCAGGGAAGAGGAGATGAAATGAGAGCTTCAATTACTCCAGGTCAGTTTCACCAACCATCATCAGATGAAGAAATAACTTTAAGAGGAAACCAAACTGTCTTCAGTTGAGATGCTGGGGTAATTCCAAATGTGGTAGATAGCATGAATCAAACAATTTCTGGGTGGCACATAGCCACAAAGAGAGAGGGGTTTATCCTCTTTGGGGAGAGGCTCAGCAGTTCAAGGCCAAACTGCCTGCAATGTCTTTCAGCCACTCAGATATATGGCTGGCTTCTTCATGCAACTCCCTCTAAGGACACCCGATAGAGAACTGAGTAAGGGCAGCTGTCATATGGAAGGCCCTCCAGTTAGGTGTTTGGTCCTCACCGTGGGAAAGTACTCCCTGCATGACTGGAGCTGAGGAACCTGTTCACAAAAAGGTGTAATGCAAATGTTAGTGCTAGCGGGGCAGTGAGTGAGGCAAGTGCCACTGAACACAGATGCTATGGGATGGCCTCAGGAGAGGTGCAGCTGTGTGCTGGTGGTCCTAAATGACCGCACTGGCATGCTGCTGGCACTGACCTACCGAACACCCTGGACCTGAACTCTCTTCCATGCAGTTTTTTTCACAGGGAGTATTCTTTGCAAGTTGATTTTCTTGGATCAAAATAGTGTGGCCATTTTGTAGGGGACAGAAATTGTGTGTGGGGTCGGGGTGGGGCAGGTGGCTTGCCTACCAGAGAGGGATGAATTTTGAAATTTGATACTGGGCATTCTTAGGTCTTGTTAATGCATACCCTTCAAAGCCAACACTCCCCAACTGCCCAGCTTTGTCAAAGGTTTTGCATGACCAATGAGCAAAGAGAGCTCTGAGTGCAAGGCTCTTGGGAGTGGTACCACTCTCCTGGGTGAGCCAGTGCTTGGCCCTGGGAGGCCCTTAGCTTGGGTTCAGACAGAAGCAAAGAAGAAAACACCATCAGCACCCAACCAACCCAATATGATCTTGATTTAGGTAATATTCACCTTGTCTTTTCAAAGAACATGACTGAGGGCCAGCCCGTGGCTCACTCGGGAGAGTGTGGTGTTGATAACACCAAGGCCACGGGTTCGGATCCCTATATAGGGATGACCGGTTAGCTCACTTGGGAGAGCGTGGTGCTGACAACACCAAGTCAAGGGTTAAGATCTCCTTACTGGTCATCTTTAAAAAAAACCCAAAGAACATGACTGGAAAAACACACAAGTCATGTAGAGCGAGCCCTGATTACCTCTCACCTTGCATTCTGTCTACATGGTTCACCTTATGAAGTGATTTACATGTTGATATCTCACTTAATTTCAGTTCTTGGCTTTCTTGACTGGAGAGGATGGGCTTGTGAAGGCACCTGTTGGCTAGTTCTGTCTTTGGTATTTGTTTGCAAGGCTGGGTTAACATTAACTGTGGTGGTAAATTGGTGCTTTGCACATTTCCATTAAGCTTATGCTTCAGTGAAGACACAGGAAAAATCCTTTTAAACAGGAAACCCCACTGTACAAAGGACACACAGCCACACCACATTTTTAGTCTTTATTTTTTAAGTAAAGAAATTCCATTGAATCAAAGATAACAAAATTACAGTTTTTTTTGTAATGATCTTTGTTTACCACCACACAGAATCAAAGTAGAATCAAAAGTAATATGAGAACATAAAGTGATCAAGGACACAATTGTTTAGTATAACTTCTTGATAAAGGTAAATATCCTCATATTTAGAAAAAATTGCATTGCTAGTTGCAAATCTTAAACACCTCAGTGCTGAAGGATCCTATATTTCCCCCCAAAGATCCAACAGCATGGAGGCTTTCAGAACACAAACTCAAAAATACAGTATTTTCAGGGTAGCATTTTAAGATTCAGAAAACCAAACAAAACCAAAACAAACCAGAATTAGGAATGTGAAAGTCATGGTTCTCAAAAATCAATCTGGAAGCAGATCTGCCAACATAAGTTGTGGCTGATGAGTCTAACCAGGAAACGGAGAGATGCGAATCGGCTCCACCCTTCCCACCCCCTCCCCCCACCCCTGGCATCACTAAGGCAGCTGCAGTGGCAGAAGTCAAAAGCTCAGGTACAGTGAAGGTCTTCCTGAGGCAGTGGGAGAGACCCAGGTCGTCTGGAACTGGTGTGGAGGGGTGACAGGGTTCTACATGGATTTGTGCTTTAGGAAAACTAAAGAGGCCAAAATGAAACCTGAACAAAACCTAACTTCTATGCCCAGGAACTTCGTCCACCCACATGAACAGCCTGGGAGAGAAGTGGTTGGTGCTGAAACCAAGAGGGTTGGCAATTATTCTAGGTGACTCTTGGCTGCTCAATGTGGATGGTCTGGAAGAAGAATGCCCATTGAGACAAAGAGTATTTCTGCAGGTGCTATAAGTGGACGGTCCCCAACTTATGGCAATAGTGCATTTTTTTGGCTAATGGGGACCAAAATGAGAAGAAGGTAGGTTTTGTAGATTTCGTTACTAATTGATAGGAGTTTAGTTTAAAAGCTGAGAACTTCATGAAACTCAGAAGGTTAAAACTTAATCCACCAGTTAGAAATTAACTTCAGCTTATTCATTAGAGATACATGAAAGCTTTACCCACATACATGCTGGGAAAAACAGTTCAGAGAACACGGGGGGCTGACTCTTCCAAAATGAGCAGCTATCTACTTTCTGGAGTCTCAGAAGGGCTGGCAAATTGGATTCTGCAGCCTGCTTCCCAGGACCACTACGAGAGGATGCCTGGGCTACAGCATCTGGATGCAGTAGCAGCAGCAACACAGGCAAGAGAAAGCAGCCTTTGCTTTAGATGGCATTCCAGTTCTCTCTGCCTGCAGAGGCCAGTTCCCCTTTTCTTAACTTCAGATACAATTTGGCAAAAGCAATCCTACTTTATAAAGACGGGGGCACTTACCTCTGCTTAAATAACAGAGGTAGAAGAAAACCTTTCTCTCAATCACCTGGCCTCTAAATGCCACGAGCAGGCCACTTTTCATGGCTTTTTGAAGCATCCAAGTAATCCAAAGCAGCTTTGAACAACACAATAAGGCCAAGAAGGAAAGAAAGGTGCTGGAGATGAGGCATTTGGCTAGTCTGGATCTCTCATATTGTTGGGGATTGGGGGCGGATAAAGTGACAAGGAGTCTACCGGCCACTTAAGGAAATTCTCCAATTTTGCTGTGACTTTGCTTCAAAATTTCACAGTGGAAAAATTCAAATTATAATGCCACAATATTGTTGTAATACCAGGGGATTTTCTAGAGGCAAGTTAAGGCTTTCTGGGCAAAGAAAACAATTCTAGGTGATAGTGTGACAGAATGCTGCAGTGAAATGCTTCTTAGTAACTCTCCTGTCCTGCCTAAAGGACAAAGACCTGTGGGTTTCTTCAACTTGACGTGATGTTTCAGTGATCTTTATTTTAGCTCTAAGTCAGAATCAATGCCACAGGAAAAGAAAAGCCTCTCACATCTCAGACAGCTGCTTGCCTGGCAAACACAAACAAGAACACATGTATTGTTTCCCTGGAGCTGGCAAAAGAGATCTCAAGTCACACAGTTACAAAGAGAGCTCTCATTCAGATGCCAGGCATATAAGCTCAGCTACCCAGAAAGTTTAGCTTTAATGAAGACTGTAGTTTTAGAATAAAAGCCTGAGCAGGAAGGATTTCTGCCCTGGGAATTCTTAATGCTCTGCCTTAGTCACACTGAAGGATGAAGATATTCTCATTCCACTGGCCAGCACCTGCCACAGTCACAAGACCACCCTTAGAACAGCAAGGATACTGCGATAACGACGGAGACTCTGAAGAGAAGCCAGTCAAAAACACAGGGCTTTGGACAATACCAAGGGTCATCACCAGGAAAGGCTCAATACAGAACTCTCTCTCTCTGAGCCCCCTCAAAATGAGCCTTAAGCCTTGCCATAGTTGTTTCCACCTGCAAGCGCTGCAGAAGCCAAGTTCAGGCAAATGTTCAGCAGTGTTCAGGCAAACGATATATAGATAGATGAAGTGGACTTAGAGAGGTCTAAGGTGAGGAAACAGACTCAGAGAGGTGAAGTGCCTTGCCCATTGTCCAATGTGAAGTAGAGACAGGGTAAGAACCCAGGCCTCTCGGGCCCTGGTTCAATAACACATGTCAATAAAGGAACACTCCTCTTTCAGGCATATTTTCATCTTTATGGTAGGGCATACAGTTCCCTGTAGGTGTAAAACACTGCAGAGAGGTTAACAGCAAACAATTTTCTAGCCTCATTCTGCTCTGAAATCATTGATGCAAACTCACAGCAGGAAAGATAAGTTTTCTTCAAGGCTGTTAAACTCTCTTCTAACATAAATGCATTAAAGAGACTTGACACCGTTTTTTAAGTCAGATAATCCTAATGTGACTGAGAGCACTCATCATCAATGTCTTCAAATTATGTAGGAGGCAGGGAGTACAAGAGGAGAAATGTGGGTGCTTTTTCTCCCTTGGTTTTAACAAGTTATTCCTGCAACAGAATTGGCTGGATCTATGCAATTTATTACCTTAATTTGATTTTAAAATATAACATTCAAACACTCTTTAAAAATTCAGCCTTTTTTTAGCCCCGATAATAGGACCTCAATAGCAAGAAGAGCATTCACATTATCATCAGAAATGAATGACTGGGAAGAAAAGCAAGGAAGCCCGGAGAAGGAAAAAAGATGACCTACATATAAAATGCCACTGCCTCATTTATTAGGCAAGTTTGCATCTCTGTAAATTCAATGCCTCTGTGCTCTCATTCAGGGACAAACAAGAATTGTCCTGTAAGCCAGCCACAGACAGTCACATTCTCATTTCCATGCCTGAGAGCCTAAAGCTTGAACAAAGGGCTTCAGTTGATTTCATGTGAGCCAAAATGGAATGTAAGTGCCATTCAGAGTCACACACTAAAAAGATTTCAGCTGGGACATGGCCCTCACAGTCTTGGGGGGGTAAATTCCGGTTCTGCGGCAATAAAGGCTATGTCCTCAGCCCTGCCTCTCCTCCATGGGAGTCACCAGGACCGCCCTGCAGACAACGCTGCAAGCACTGCCCCCTCCATTTGTGTGACAACAGGACTCTCTCTTCTCCTTCTGAATGGGGATGGTACCTGGCCCGCTACTTTGTCAGAAGAGATCAAGAGTTGTGGCCTCATGCAAATGAAAGGAGCCTTTCACTTCTTGGGATCGTGATTCAATCCTATAAAGTTATTGCTTGGTTTACCTATTTTCACAAAAAGTTTTGAGAAATGAAGGCAGTAGCAGGAAATATGACTATTTCTAGATTACAGCTATGGTTGAGTGGAGGGAAAGTAACAGAGGAGAGGGACTAGCTTCCAAATTGATGGGTAGATAAAACAGTGCCAATCTGTGCTAGAAGAACATGAAAGAAAATGCATTAGAGAAATAACAACTTGGGGGAAAAGCCACAATGATAGAATTTGATAAGCATGAGAAATTATACCAAAGCTGAGCTGAGACCACAGAAAACTCAATCTTTTGAAATAATGGCTGTTTTTGATATGATTAGGATGATCTAGTGATTGTCAGAAAACAGCTTCTTCAGGTCACAGATGTTACTGTCACAGTCACTCAGACCAATGCCCAAATTATATGCACCTGTGGCCATAAGGACTGACATTCAGGTGATCAGTGTTTCCATCCATCCCTTATACACCCACACAGGTCCACTGTTTACATTTTAGTCTGTCCTGGAGTCACAGGAGATGAATCAGGGAAAAAAATTTTTTTAATATCTAGGCGACTTCACTCATAGTTCTGTTTAGTTCTAGATAGCAACTGCTGATTTTTCCAAGTGCAGGGTCTTTAGATATTCAAGTCCCACAGGATTAGAGAAAAGGAGTACTTGAAACCAAGAGTGACATTTTCAGGTGAGAAGACACACTTTGGAAAGATCTATCCAACGGACCACAAATATAGGCTATTACGTTAAAAATATGGTTTCAAAATAACAACCTCTTCGGTTAGAAATATCTTTCTCCAAGCTCAGATCCAACTTTTGAATTGTTTGGTATCAAAAGCCAGAGTTACAGAGACCTGGGTTAAAAAAATAAAAATTACAGTTGAGTGCTTTATTAAAAAAGACCCCAAAACCTCTTTATGTGAAATGAGGGACAAAAAAAGAAAGGCAAATGATGACATCTACAAGCTTAGACTGGGACAACAGCTCCCAGGTTCCCCTGGGGGAACGTTCTCTCAACCTCAGTAAACTGAGTTTGTCATTGAACTTTAGAACTGGTAGTGATCTCGGCAGTCTACCTGGACTGAGTCCCAAGGGACTTTTCCAGGGTCATATAGCCAGTGATGAGCAGAGCCAGGGTGCAGCGCAGATGCTCACTTCTACCTAGGGCCATTTCTGAGACATCACAATTCAATCACACAGGGCAGCTACACGACAGGCTTTGCTGCTTTGGAGGCCCCTGAGAATTAAGGGACACCTCCAACTATGAATTTTTTTTAAAAAAGAGCTACCAAAATGTTTCTAGTGTAAAGGCGCCATAGGACAGTATTTCCCAAATTTGCCTGATGATGAGAATCACCTGAGGCACTTATCAAAAATCAAAATCCCCAGACCCCTTCCCAGCCCCACTGAATCAGCCTCTCTAAGCAGAGGGACCTGAGAGGCTGAATTTTTAACAAGTGCCCCACGTAACTCTCAGCAGCAGCAAAGTGTGGGGAAATTGTCTTCGAAAATAGTGAGGAAGAAACTTGGCTTGTGCCTCAAAGGAATTTCCGTTGACACTTAAAGGTCCATACTCCGGCCTTGGGAGGCCCAGGTCCTCAGGCTCCCAAGCTGAGTTGTGACTCCAGCATTGGCCTAGAATGGTGAGCTCTTTTCAGTGTCTACATAAGGACACATACAACCACCACAAAGTAACATACATCCTTCACGGTTCTCAGGGAAAAGCCTTTGATTGGCAAAGCAAAACTGCTGTTCAGATACATTTTTAATAGGGAAACTAGATATAATTGGCTTGAAAGCAACCAGACACTGAAACCGGACAGGTGGATGAGAACCCTGTCGCTTGTCATCATGGCTAACAATGCAACGGAGAAAACCAATAACTAAGCACAAAAATGGCCTGGAGCTCCCAGGGATAGCCGCATCCTTAGAAACAGGTGTGCATGGTGGGTGCCCCGTGTGGGTGGCCCCCCCCCCCGCTGATGGTGTGAGGTCAGATCCAGGTCACTAAGGGAGATGGGAGACCTGAAACAGCAGGTGAGGTTCCAGAGGAGGGCCACTGGAGCGTGCCTGAGTCCGGAGGCCTCACTCTGGGTCAGCCTCCACCTGCTCCGTGTCGGAGCACTGCAACTTGTTACGTTCCCACTGGCAAATGGCGTTGGCGTACTCCACCACCAGCTTGTCCATCCATGTCAGGGGCTCAGGGAACAGCACAGAGCCCTCAAAGAAGCCGAGGTGGCCCCCATGCAGAGGCAGCACAAACATGACGTTCTCCCGTTTCTCTGTAGGGAAAAGGCAGCTGAGTTACTGTACTCCAGTGAGCTCCAGGACAGGAGGTACAAAAGTGACCTGGCTGGGGTGGCCTAGGCTTTCCCCACAGGGAAAAGTCACCTGTGTGGGCACTCAGCCTCTCCTCACTCTGCCTTGTTCGCCAACGTGGGGCAGACCTTTGGTGGGGCAGGCAAGACAGTAGGATCTAGCGGATTTGGGTACAGCAGCTTGGCTCTGGAGTGGAATGAGCATCAGCTTAAGAAATCTCTAGAATTCTAAGTAGTTCTCAAACATGGCTGCATAGTGGAATCACTTAGAGGTTTTTAAAGCTCCCTAAGCCCAGGCTGCACCCAGACCAATTAAATCGGAATCTCTGGGGGTAGGAGATGGTGGAGGAGTGAGGGAAGGGGAACCGAGGTATTGGTATTGCTAAATAAGACCCCCAGGTGATTTGGTTGTGCTTTCCAACTTCGACTGGGCATCTGAATCATCTGGGATATCTTGTTAAAATGCAGATTCTGATTTAATAAGGCTGAGAGAAGAGCTGAGATTCTCCATTTCTAACAAGGTCCCAAGTGATGCCAATGCTAGTAGTGGGGTTCAGGCTCTGAGCAGGGATTCACAGCACTTACAGTGTTATTTACTAGAGAACAAGGAGAATTCAACGGAGTCAATGATTTTTCATTGACTGAGACTTAACTTCAAGCTACGAGTTGTGTTAAAAGAAGCCCAAGCTCTCAATGCCACATGCTAAATAGCCATCCCGAGAATTAATAACCTTTTGCTTGAATCCATGTTTAGGTTAATCCCACATGGGATAGTAAAGGCCATTATTGAAGATGTGTGTAAAATGGGCAGCCAGGCACAGCCAGGTACAACAGGAAGCATCTGTCTTCCCAGGGGAGTAACTGCCAGGGGCCCCTTGCTGGCTCTACAGGGCTCTCTTCTTGCCTGACCCCCTTTATTCCTCCTTTTTAGTCGCCATTTGATAAATTGCTGTGTGACAGCATTAGCACTATGAATGTGACTTCACAGGTCCAGATGGAAGCGAGTGAGGTCACTTTCTCTGACTGCTGCAGACATGGCTGAGTGAGCTCCTGTTATGCAGTGAGCCTATGGCTGGACAGGGGTTGACAGGAGATAGCTTTTATCATATAACATACTGCCAACACACTCAGCCTTCATCCTGAGCCGTGTAACAGAGCTCTGGCAGGGTGTGGATTCTGTCTGTTATGTTATTTACTCTTCTAGCTTCAGAGAACAAGAGGTTCCTCATTCTTCTGGTTTAAATACAATATTTACAAGAGGAAATGTAATCACAGAGGACTATGGAGGGAGGGAAATTATGTCCTAGGGATCTGAAATCACAATGCAAAGTAACTTTAGAATTCCCCAGTGTTTCCTACCACTACCGTCTCTCTAGTTTCTCCTTTAGCTCCTGTTAGCATGAAATGAGACCGTGATGGCCACAAGGACAATAACATTCCCATGAGCAATGTTCTCTGCCGTTTCAGTTGCTTATATTTTTATTTTCAAAGCAGATGGAGAGGCTGTCACAAGAGATAGCAAAACTGACTTTTTTTGTTTTGTTTTTCAGGTCAATTTTTTTTTTTCCTTTTTGTCTTTTTTCGTGTCCAGCAACGGACCGCAACCCTCAGCTCAGTGTCGCGCCCATACCGGACCGGGACCGGCAACGGGATCGCAACCCTCGGTGCTGCGCCCACCCCTCGCTCAGCCAGTGAGCGGGAACCGGTCTGTATGTGGGATCCAAACCCTCGGCGGGAGCGCCACCGCGCTCCCAAGCGGCGCACTGTAGCAGTGCGCCACCGGGCCAGCCCATTTCAGGTCAATTTTAAATCTAAATATCTCTTTAAGTCAAACTCTCAAAGTTAATGGAACCATAACCCTGATAATTCAATAATTTCACAGAATACCAGGTGACTCTTCCAAAGCCCTCTTGGCTATGGATATAAATGATGGTCCTGTCTCCTGCACCAGGATGGAGTATGAGAAGGATTTGCATCGGCCCCATTAGAGCCCCAGGGCTATCAGGCTAGGCAGAATCAGAACACTGCTATGAGATGTCCTTCCTCAAAAAGGCTGGTCTCAGGGCCGGCCCGTGGCTCACTTGGGAGAGTGTGATGCTGATAACACCAAGGCCATGGGTTTGGATCCCTATATAGGGATGGCCGGTTGGCTCACTTCGGAGAGCGTGGTGCAGACAACACCAAGTCAAGGGTTAAGATCCCCTTACCAGTCACCTTAAAAAAAATAAAAAAGGCTGGTCTCTAGAAGATGACAGCATGGTGAAGGTGACAGAATTTACTGTGGCAATTTGCTGAGTGGTTGAGGGAGCAGTCGAAAGAAACCCTTACCTGAAAGAGACTTTGGAATGGTTAGAAGACTTTCATGTACCAAGGGGTCATCAGCTGCATTAACCAGCATGAGAGGCACATAAATCTGCAACAAGAAAATAAAGCAAAATTAAGATAACAATCCCCTTTTTCAGATCCCATTGATTCCGAGGCTAAATTCACCACCGGACATATCCCTGAAGCGAAGAGTAGAGTGTCATAGCTCAGCTTGCTGAACAGCTGGATTGATGATGCCTCCTGTTGACCAGCAGTGGGATGAGTTACAACTGTTGCTGTGATCACCGCCCTGGCAGCAGGCATGTGCAGAAGCAAAGCTACCGGTGTCCTAGGTGACCCATGTGCTCTGATGGGGAGAGGGAAGTATCCACTGGCACTCACTAGCAAAATATTTCTTTCCTTTTTTTTGGCTACTGGCTGGTATGGGGATCTGAACCCTGTGGCAAACTATCTCTGATGATAAACACCGTGTTTCAGATTAGCCGTGCCTTTCAGAAAGACGTCTTTACAAAGAGTTATGTACATACTCATTCAGTTTACATTGTGGGGAGGAAAAATGAAGTGCTCTCCATGCCAGACAAAAGAGACTTTCTGAAGAATGTGAAGGCTGGAAACAGGAGTAGGCTGGTGGATATTGGGAAACTCTTGGCAGGTGTGCATTCAAAATCCACTTCAGCTAAACAGCCAATAGTCTCTTTTTTCATTTTAGTAGAGATGGTACTAATGGGGGGACTCAGACATTACTGAACAGCCACACTAAGTTAGTGAATGGCTGTGCTAGCCTGGAGGTCTCTGATGTTGGCTTTAGACAGCTCAACATTTCTATAATGGTTTACAAGCCTGGGTGATGATGCTAAACTAGGAGGAATAGCTGACATGACACAGCAGAACTGCAATTCACAATCCTCTGCTCTGGCTAGGGGAATGTTGGGCCAAACCAACAGCTAGTCATTGATAGGGATAAACAAAAGGTCCTGTGTTTGGGTAAAAAGAGCAATTGGGCAAAGATAGAATGGGAAGGACTGGCTTGATGGTAAAAAATAGATGGGGGTTTTGGCTGGCCACAAACTTAATACACACGAAGTTTACCGTAGCTGCTAAAAACTGCATTAATACAAATCAGTTTACCTTATCAATAGACTTGATAAATCTCATCACTTTGATACAGAAATACATCTATTTTACTCTGTGCTTGCCAGATCATGGCAGAAATTTTGAGTTCAGTCCTAGGCACTATGCTAATAAAATACGTAATGGCCAAAAAAGAGTCCAGGATGGAAAGAAATCTAGATGAATCCCCCATCAAGAACCATGGCAGAATCCAGGTGGGATTATACTGTCAAAGGAAGACTACGAAAAAATTGGGTGAATAAGAAATTTCAAGGTCTCTCACACAGACATGGGAGTAGACCAGTCTTAAGGGCAGCTCTGGGATTAATGTTTAGTACGGAGGTCACAAAGGGACACAGTTTGGTTCAATACTAAATCAAGTTAAAAAACTAGAGTGGTTTGAGCCAGATTGTGGCTGAGCTTTCACCAGGGAAATTTAGGAGGATTTCTGTTGTATTGTGGGCAAGGCTGGATGGAGTGACACTAATTCTGAGCTGGTGCTGGCTACTCACCCTGTGCAGGTACCTCATGCAGCTTTCTTCCTCGTAATATTCCTTCAGGGAGTTATAGCCATGAAACTTCCTGAAACGCACCAAGAAAGAGGGAGGGGGGGAGGGAGGAAGGAAGAAAAAGGACAAAACATTTGTCATAGGATCAGAACACTCAGTTGATTATTGCTCCAGCTCCCCACATTAACTTGCTGCATTGATAGAATATACCCAGGCAGCAGAGTTAGGTCTAAATGCTGAGCTGATTTGATTACTGCTGCTCATATTAGTAGACTATACGTAGGCAGCAGTAGAATTAGGGGTTAAGAGCACTGGCTCTGGCATCTGGGTTCCAATGCTGGCCCCGCCACTTACTGGCTGTGTGACCTTAGGCAAAATGTTTCAACTTTTCAGAGCCTTGAGTTCTCCTATGTAATATTACTGGATCTAAAGACAGGACTTTCCTTAATGGTGCTGTGGGACTTAAGACATTAAAGTGCTTACTAGCACAGTGACTGGCCCAAAGTAATTATTCTGGAGTAATTGTTATCTACAGTAATTATTTTAGTTTTTTTTTTTTCCTTTTTGTCTTTTTTCGTGTCCGGCAACGGATTGCAACCCTCAGTGTCGCGCCCGTACCGGACCGGGACCGGCAACGGGATCGCAACCCTCGGTGTTGCTCCCTGCACCTTGCTCAGCCAGTGAGCGGGAACCGGTCTGTATGTGGGATCTGAACCCTCGGCGGAACCGCCGCCGCGCTCCCAAGCGGCGCACTGTAGCAGTGCGCCACCAGGCCGGCCCATACAGTAATTATTTTAGGATATTACCTCTTTCAAGGTAGTATAAAACCAGATGTCACTATGACACAGAGAAACTGAAATTCAAAGGCATTTATTAATTCAAAAGCATTATTTCTTTTCAACAGAGTTCATCTTGGTAGAGTAATAGGACCATCTACGAATTGGAATGAAAAATGTATTGGATAATAGAAATGCAACAGGGGTTCACTGTTACCAATTCTGTCCACCCATGGAGAAGAATCAGAGATAAACTGACATTTAACAAAACCTCAGTGCTCCAGCATGAAAGTCCTGCAGCTTCGCTCTGCTGCGTGCCCCAAGAGGTTCAACCTGGAGGTCTGATACCGGGAGGCCTGAGGACCTCTGAAAACTTCATTTCTTTCTGACACAGATTAGGGCCTTTGGTTTCCGAACAGTGGATCTTTTCTGCTTTGACTGGGGTCTTTAAGATATCCCACTTCCCCTGAAGCCTCCTTAGACATCTCTGCCTGGAAATGACCAGAAAAGCTCAGGCCAGACTATTAGGGCTTTCTTGATAGGGAGGAGGCCATAGACAGAGACCATCCTTGTGAAATCAGTGGACAGGGAAAGTGTTTCATTCATCCAGTATTATGGATGATGAATCTAAGGGAGGCTGCCAAAACTGGTTATGATCATGCAACTGCCATTAGCCAACACTATTAAAGAGAAAACTTTAGGGAAGTGAGGAACATTCTTTTTTGGGCTTAAAAAATTTTAGAAGATGAATGGAAATTTTAAATTAGATTTGTTTTTTCCCTCATTAGACACCACAATAAAGTCTCACACCCCATGTTGAGTGAGGGTGGGTAAGATTTATTGTCATTTTCTGAACATACCAGCAATTTCCTTCTTTCCATTTCCTTTGAATAACTGTTAACAGGCATACTTCAAAGTTACTTGATGTAAGAAGGTTCCTAAAATCTCTTAAAGAAGTAGAGATCCCATACTCTCGGGTCAATATCTGTCTGTCTATTGGATGAATACTCGCTTGCTTTAGACCATGTCTAAAGGTATCAAATGATTGTTAAAAAGGATGACATTCTAAAAGAGAAGGATGAGGTCAGAGATCAACTTTACCTTTTCCTGCCAAGGCTAACCTCAATCAGAAACTACTGGTACCAGGACAGAGGACACCGTCATGGTCACGGCCTCAGGTGTCTGAGGGGCCAGGCAGGTAAAGAGTAGGTGAGTGAAATGGGTGGGATTTGTATCTTACACTCAGAGGAGAGTCTCCACACCCCCAAAGAAAGAAGCTCTGTTCATTTTGCTTGACACACACAGCCTGCTTGATCTATCTCTTGTTTTTCTACTTTTGACAGAGAAATAGATGGGTACAAGAACTATTTCCTTTTATTCCACTGCAAATGCAGATTTATGTGGCACCTGATACTTGCCCCAGTGTTGAGGCAGGACAGGTAGGATGAGGACTGCAGATGACCAGGGCCTGCACACCCCAGCTCTTCAGTTCAAGCTAACTATGCTCTGCAGGGATACAGAACGAGGCGTCAGATCTACTTCCTATTTTCTAAAAGAAACTAGAAATTTTGATTTTTCTATGAAACCTTCTGATTTTAAACACTGGACACTTATTCAAACGCCCTTAACACTAAAGCAAGCAGAGCAAAGCACTGGTGCTGCGCAGACCTGGCCTGTGGCCTCCCGCCTGGCACCCTGCCCTACAGTGTCCCTCCCCTGCCCATGTGGACACACCTCATCACATTGTCATCAATCTGCATCAGGGATGTCGCTGTGTAGAGCCGGCTCAAGTCTGTGTCGTCCAGGCTCTGGGGCTTCTTCACATGGTCTCCAAACAGAGCTTGCCTAGAAAGAGACACAATAGCCAGCAAAGAATAAAAAGCGGAGGATGAGCAACCAGGAGCCTGCCTGCTGGCCGAGGTGTGCTGGGAGACGAAGCCTGCATGGTGAGTTAGAACTAGATCCCATTAGCTCACTTGGCCTGTGGCTCACTCAGGAGAGTGCGGTGCTCATAACACCAAGGCCACGGGTTCGGATCCCATGTAGGGATGGCCGGTTCGCTCACTGGGAGAGCGTGGTGCTGACAACACCAAGTCAAAGGTTAAGATCCCCTTACCGGTCATCTTTATTTAAAAAAAAAAAAAAAAAAAAAAAGAACGAGATCCCATTAGCTAGAATGTCCCAGAGGATGAACTTGCACTGTTGACTTTTAAATAACTGCAGAAAGGTGAATGTCAAGACTTTTTGTCCTTTTCAGGGGCACTTACACAAACTAAAGATTGGGTTTGAGTTTAGCTGAATATTACAAAATCTTCATCCCAGGGGAGGAGGTCTCAGGACAGGACCTGCGGTGAGTGGTGGGCAGCGGGCCACACCATAGGGCCTTGTCTTTACACTGGTGGTGACACTGCCCCCTCTGGCACAACCTCCTTCCCTTTATGGCTGTTTGTGTCACTTATCAAGGAAGACAATGGCTAACCCATTTTGCATTTGGGCAAATCAATGGCTCTCCAATGTGTTAGCTAAAAAGCTAACACATATTCAGTAATCACTTCTATTAAGAAGGAGATCCATCTTGAGAGGATGACAATAAAGGTAGGGGTCAAAATGAGCAAGTTAGACTTCCTCTCCTGGCAAGGGCTCTCTGTCACGCAGCTGGAGGAAGACTGAGTTTGCTTTGCAGTTTGGCCCCACAGTGGGAAAGATTCATTACGGAAACTCAGTGTTCTGCCATCCATTCACCCAACAGGAGAGAAACACATTTCTTTAGCACTTATTTTTTCTCAAAAGAGTATTAGGAATATTACATAAGTACTAGATAGGATTCACAAATTTAAAGTTTCCTAAAATTTCTAAGTGTTTGACTTTCTGTAGTAAATTTCAAAAATGTAAATACACTTACAGCACATTCAAAGAACTCTCCCACTTTGTTCAGAATTACATGATTAGCCTTCTAGACTAATTAGCAGCAAGACCCGGCCCTTTAGCAAAACAAATGCTCCCTGGGGGAGTTAGATTTGCTATTCCAGAAGTGTACAAAAGAGGACAGAGAACTTGGATTTGGTATCAGAGGCCTGAATTCACCCCTTCTGGCTTTATAACCTCAGCAAATCCTCAGACCCATACAAACCTTAGCTGAACCACACCCAGCTCAGTGCCCAGCACATAGTTAATGCTCGAACAACATGAGCTGAGTGGAAATAGTTGATTGTTCAACTGGCTCAGGGAACAGAGGTCTCCCTCTGTTCTCCACCCACCTGACATGAAGACCTGAGGATGTGCCTGGCAGCTTGGCAACCTGAGGGGCCTGTGAGCCCAGCCTTGCCCAGGCAGGTGAACCCCACCCACAGGACGTCCAATCTGGGGCATGTGGCTGGGATGGGCAATACCATGTTTTCTTTTAACCATTGAAAAAAAGAGAATAAGAAAAACTGATCATTTAGTCAGATTGCTTTTCCTAGGGTGGTGCCCCAAATCCCTACAAGTTGTATTTTTTGAGTGCCCATTATGTGATAGGCTCTGGGGAAAATCAAAACATGCCCAAGCCTTCCAGTGGTTTCTAGTAGTGGAAAGACACAGGATTCACACAGGGCAAGCAACAGAAAAGTGACTTGGGGTATGAGGAGTTGGCTTCTTGGAGACAGGAGAGCTGAGACAGAACTTAAATGGGTTGGTTCTGACCGGCAGGGACGATAGGAGGAACATTCTCAGCAAGGGCAGTAAGTGATATGGGAGAGGTCAAGGGTGCACGAGCATCTAAATCGCCCAGTGCAGCTGGAGGGAAGAGGAGGGGTGGGAGAGGAGGAAGAGATGATAGGGATAATAATTATAATAAAATCACCGCTAATATTTATCAAGCTACTGCACACCAGGCACCACTCTAAGCACGGGGGGTTAGGCCACCAAATGCAGGAGGGAGGCGAGTGAGCGTGGCGAACACGCGGAGGCTCGGACCTAGCACAGCGCAGTCTGACGTTGCACTTTGAGCTTCCTGTCCCGCTGCTGCTTGGTTGGAGCCCTAAGGGCCCACCAAGAGCGAATCCTGATGCCCAAGCACAGAAGCATCCTGAGGAGGAAGGTCACCTCAACAATGACAAGCCACCTCAGGACTGCTCTCATTTGGGAAAGAAGGAGGTTCTTTGTCTTGGTGTATAAGTGGTTCCTTGTCTTGAATTTACTGGGAATTACAAGGGCCACAACTGGTAGCTTGGGACAGGTTTGTTTCTAACCAAGTCACAAATACAGTCAGCAGAAGGTCTGCAACACCCCTGCCTTTTTTTTCCGCCCCCCCTGGAGAAACAGGAGTTTTGGCTTTTCGTGACTCCAAAATGAGTGCAGAAAGGAACTGGCTGTCTCCTGAGAGAGGGTGGCCGGTGACGGACCTGTGCGAGAGGATGATCTTCTTCATGTTGTCGGCCATGAGGAAGTTGTAGAACCGCCGGCACTGATCCCACTGCATGAAGGTTTCCTGGGCCCTGAAAGAACCACAGCCAGAGTGAGAGGGATGCAGTGTGGAGGGGCGTGATTGGCGCTGGCAGGCTGCGGCCTTTCTGTTGGAACAGGGACTTTGGTGGGAGTGCTCAAACATCCGTAGAGAAACCACAACAGCGCTGCTGAACCTGACCCTAGTGAGGAACCTCCCCAGGGCCAGGGGCTTTGTTGGTGGCACTCCTGACGCCCTCTTCCAGCACACCCTGGCCTTTTCTTAGTCACAGAACCTGCCAGTACCAAAGTGTGTTTCGGTTGTCATTTGAACATTTTCTCTATTCAGCTTTCTACCCTGCAGACAAGTTTTTCTGGCTTAATAACAGTAATAAGTAAGGGAAAGGTGGGTGTAGAGGGGAAAAACCTAAAAAACTTTTTTGCCATTTGAGAGATAAAAGAAAATCATAAAATTTGATCTTCTCCAAGTAAATCTTTCTTTTGATTAGCCCTAGAAGATTTAGGGGCATGGAGATGGAAGTAGAAGCACAGAGGCCACCCACCCCTTCTAGGCACAGCTGGTGAGGTGCGTCTGGAAGAGTCCTGCCTGTAGGGCTAGGTGTGGTCAGCACTGCTAGGCCTACCTGTCATAAGGATCATCCTCTGGCCCTCTAGTAATGGCACCGGGCAGGTAATATTGTCCCCATTTTTCAGAGCCCACGTTCTGCCACCAGCCTGTGCGGAGGGAGGAGATAGCACAGCCAGCCTTGTCCGCACGCCTCCACGGCCAGATCTCCATGTCCACATGTCAGGTGAGCAGACACTAGCAGGCTCATTCCCAGCACAGCTGCTCAGCCCGCCCTCCTCCTTGGGTGTGAATCCAAACACAGCCTGCCACCAAGTCCACATTAATTAAAGAGAAACTTGCATTTTGCAGGTTTCTGAGTTTCCAGGCTTGGTTCCACCCTGCAAATTAATCTGGTGTCACTAAGCCTACAGAGAATACACAGATTTCATCTTCCAGTTGGCAAGAGAGGGGACTGGCTGGTTCACGGTTTTTTTTTTTTTTTTCTTAAATCCAGGGAGTTTATAAAAGTAATTTCCCCAAAGCTGCCACACTTCAAATTTGGAATACCAAACATTTCCCATAATATCATGGTTAAAACATAAGAGGGAGTTAAGAGTGCAATGGTTTGTGGATTTAATGGTCCATGACATGCTCATAAAACATGGACCAAAGCTTGAAGTGAAGACTAATACCACGTTCAAAGGTCAAAAGGCCGTTGTGTAAAGGCTCCAGGGCCTCCCCAAACACTGCAGACATAGAATACATGGGGAGATCACCAGCTAAGGTCAGACTGTGGTCCTGTCCTAAGACGTGCCTGGTGGCTGGGGGAGAGAGGCATCTGATCAGTGAACCACACCTGCTGCCTCAGCCAGCTCCCTCTCCTCTTCTGACCTTGGATCCAAGCTGCCCTCCGAGAGCCGATGGTCTCAGAATCCCAGCTTTCTCTTGCCCTCATTCACTTCTCCCTTGCTGGCCTCCTAACTAAAGTGACATACTTGCTGTTAGTAGATCTTTCATGGTAGAAAGACTGCAGAGGTAGGGAAGGGAGGGTGTTGGCCATAAACTTGAGATATAAAAAGACCTTCCAGCTTGCTGAAAGTCTCTGGGGATTCTTTGGGGCCCAGGGCTCAAGGAGGGACTAGGGCTGGGACCCGTGTCTCACTCCGTTTATTTTGTCTAACACTGATCCCTAGTGTCTTTGGTTTACTACTCAGTATATGTAGGGGCTGGGTTTTTTCTTTGTTTGTTTTACCACCTTTGGGTATTTAATTAAGGAATTAAAACTTAACTTATATTGGTTTAATAAAACAAAATCAAGATCAAGGTGTCATAAAAACATTCATCCCGGGCCGGCCCGTGGCTCACTCGGGAGAGTGTGGTGCTGATAACACCAAGGCCCCGGGTTCGGATCCCATATAGGGACGGCCGGTTCGCTCACTGGCTGAGCGTGGTGCTGACAACACCAAGTCAAGGGTTAAGATCCCCTTACCGGTCATCTTTAAAAAAAAAAAAAAAAAAAAACATTCATCCCATATATTAAAAAAAATAAAGGCCTGCTTTCTTCAACACTACCACCAACAAATTGAAAGGAAATAGAAGAAGGGGGAACCTATAGACTAAAAGAAACTTAAGAGACAAGTGCAGTGCTGTAACACCAAGGACAAGGGTTCAGATCCCTGTACTGGCCAGCTGCAAAAAAAAATAGTAAAAGAAACTTAAGAGACAAATCAATAAATGCAAAATGTGGACATTATGTAGATCCTGATTCAAACAAGCCACCTGTTAAAAAACTTTTATGACACAATCAGGAAATCTGAACACTGACTAGAAATGTGATGATATTAGGGCATTATTGTTAATTTTTTGGTGTGATAATAGCATTTTGATTATGTTTAAGAAAAAGTCCTTAAAGTCGTCTAGAGCTCCCTAGTTGATGGAGTTTGGATGTGTTGTCCCCTCCAAAACTCATATGGAAGTTTGATCTCCAATGTGGCAGTGCTGGAAACTGATTTGAGTTGTGGGGGCTGATCCCTCATGAATGGATTAATGCTCTCCCTGGGGGAGGGGGGTAGTGAGTTCTCACTCTATTAGTTCCTGGAGAGCTTGTTGTTTAAAAGATCCTGGCACCTCCCCTCTCTCTCTCTTGCTTCCTCTCACCATGTGATCTGTTACCTGCTGCCTGCCACTTTCCACCACCAGTAGAAGCAGCCTGAGGCCCGTGCCAGATGCAGCTGTTCCATAATGGTGAGCCAAATAAACCTCTGTTCTTTTTTTTTTTTTTTTCCTTTTTGTCTTTTTTTCGTGACCGGCAACAGGTCGCAACCCTCAGTGTCGCGCCCATACCGGACCAGGACCGGCAACGGGATCGCAACCCTTGGTGTTGCGCCCCGCACCTCGCTCAGCCAGTGAGTGGCCGGTCTGTATGTGGGATCCGAACCCTCGGCGGGAGCGCCGCTGCACTCCCAAGCGGCGCACTGCTACAGTGCGCCACCAGGCCGGCCCTAAACCTCTGTTCTTTATAAATTACCCAGTCTCAGGTCGTTCTGTTGTAGAGACACAAAACTGACTAATACACTACTGAAATATTTACAGATGAAAAGATACACTATCTGGGGTTTGCTATAAAACGATCCAGTTTACAGGGGAGCAGTGAGTGGGCGGGTGTAGAGGAAACAAGAATAACCCTAAGTTAAGTGTTGTTGAAGCTGGTGATGGGTACACTGGGGGTTCAATATCCTATTCTTTTTATTTTGTATGTGTCTAAAATTTTCCAAAATCATAAAGGAGGAGGAGGAAAGTAGAAAATCACTTTGGTTTATGAGCTACTTAATACTGTTTGCCCTGCTGAGGAGAGTTAAAGATCAAGAAGGTACAGAAAAGAGTCAGAGTTAGTTCTAACAGGTAGGACTGCAGTACTGTGAGCCTCAACACCATCTTCAGGGATGGTAAAGAGACCAAGCGGGTCAATTGGAACCACTACATACACAGCCCCATCAAGAACCTCACTTATGAGGCTCCTGTTGATGCCTCCTATTTATCAGCCTAGTTCTTGCAGTGAGAGGAGGCGGGAGACAGGACCAGGCTAGTGTGGCAAACAAGCCTGGGGCCCTGGGTCTGGCCATGGGACGAAGGTCTAAGAAGATGTCCAGGCCACTTGGCTGGCAAGAGGTCAAGCAGGAACTTGAACTACGGCCATAGTTCTGACACCACTGGGGTCTTTTCACCAAACAGCACAAACCACTTCCCCCTCCAAGCCTCAGTTTCCTGGGCCGGCCCGTGGCTCACTCGGTAGAGTGCGGTGCTGATAACACCAAGGCCACGGGTTCGGATCCCATATAGGGATGGCCGGTTTGCTCACTGGCTGAGCGTGGTGCTGACAAGCCTCAGTTTCCTCATCTGCCAAAATGGCGGGCTTGAATTAGAGAATCCATTTCCACACCCAGATTGCTTCTATAGCTGACACATCAAGACAGTTCCATGAGAGGCTTGACAGAGACCACCTTGGGGGATTTTGGTGGTGTTTACATCGCTTCTGTTAATAGTGGCTAGAATTCTGCAGACAGAGAAGATGTGGTGAGTGGAGAGCTGGCCAACTAGTGATGTTGTTAAGAATGGCTCTGAAGTCTGACCTTGGCTAAAGAAGCCTGACGGATGGGCAGGCTCGTGAGCTAGGCGGAACATGCATTGCAGAAGGAAGGGGAGAATGTCTGCTTAGAAACTAGATGACCCAGGGTCCGGCCCGTGGCTCACTTGGGAGAGTGTGTTGCTGATAACACCAAGGCCACGGGTTCGGATCCCCATATAGGGATGTCCAGTTAGCTCACCTGGGACAGTGTGGTGCTGACAACACTAAGTCAAGGGTTAAGATCCCCTTGCTGGTCATCCTTTAAAAAAACAAAAAAAGAAAGAAACTAGATGACCCAGTCAAGAAGGTTTACAGAGAGTGGTGGTGGTGGTGGTGGTGGTGGTGGTGGTAGTGAGAAAACACTCAGATGAAACTGTGACAATGCAGGGTACCATGGTGGCCAGACTTCAAACATGACAGGGTGATGAGAACAGCAGTGAGTCATGAGAGTGAATCGGAAATTTCAAAGGGGAGGGAGAGATGACATCACAGCCTCAGACACCCATACACCAATGGGCAGAACACACATAGGGAGAACTTAATTAAGGAGAGTACATAGATCTCAGAGGTATCAATAGGAGTTGATGAGATGAGACCAGGATGCGAAGAAGCTCTGTGATGGAGACCATGTGGCTATTCAAAATACGGTCAACTTTCAGGAAGAGAAGCAGAAGAGAGCTATATGGCAACAAAACACACACGCATGTTGAGTCCAAAATCCCAAGGGGAAAAACATACAGAGAATGTTTGGGTAAGAGCCGCTACGTCAGATGGACAAAATGAGCTTTACATTTTAGATGCAAGTCACAAAATGGGCACCAAAGCCCAGGGACTTTAGCTCTCTAGACACTGCGTGAGTA